CCCCCCCCCCCCCCTTTGACCCTTCGTAGTGCGCATGCTTGATCTACGGATTGGTGTTACTCTGGATTAACCTGTCACCTTTACAACAAGGACCCGAGGATTCTACCATCTCAAGTATATCTCTGATTCATCGTTAGTGCCGCGCTAAGATATTTTGCTCTTGCCGAATATAGCAATCACCGTTCGAGGTGAAGTTTTCTCGGAATATTTCGTGTCTGAAACGTGTCTTTAGACGTTCTCGTGATATTCTCAAAGCAGCGCTCGAAAATTGTCCAATTCCGAAATTTTCACCGGTGACCTTGAAATCAAATTAAACCATTTACTTCACTAATTATTCTGTTCTTATTGAAAGTTATTGTTTCGGTTATCGTCGCTTCCTGCTCTTGATCTTTTCGATCGGATTAGAGCGTGCAAAACCCGTGCGGGCGAGAATCGGAAGTGCCTCATTTGGATCAGCATACATAATCAGTGCTCCTAATCGTGTTTCAGTCACCGGTTCGGGCGGAGACATTTATGAAACGAAAAAGTGATTTTGTAAACAAAGAAATGAAAATTTTGAGTTGATCCCAAAATCGATTAATTTTACAATCAAAATAAGAAAAACGCGATAAAAATTAAATGCTTTTCGGCGATTAGTGTTGAGTGATATTTTGGAGTAGGTGTGGAAAAGTGTCAAACATAGTTCGTTTTTTCTTTGTAAATAGGATTGGATTCTTATCATTTTGCTCATTGGTAACAGGTTTGTTAATATTTGTTTTCTTTTAAATCCACGACGAGGTGTTTTGGAATAAACTTTGTTTCACGTCTCAAATCGTTGAAACAAAAATAATTCTGTCCATGGTGAGAGGTCATTATTGGTGAATGTAAGTAAGATAACACGGTGCTGAAAATAATTACCGGAAACTCTAGGAAAATTGCGAAAAACAAATTTTACATCACGAGTATTAAACTGAAGCAACCCCGTTAAACCATTAAATTATTTACTTTTAGCAGATTCACATTTCTTACCACACAACATTTGACATTGTAGGTTAAAAACGAGCGAAGTTTCAGGTTAACCGACCATGAAAGCGAAATAACCTTTCAGCTAGTCCTTTAGAAAGTGTGAGGAGATTTTAGATTTTTTGGTGAAATTCTGTTGCATTTGCTTTGACTGTATAATTTCACTGAATAACTTTAACATCGTGTCATGTTTTCTTAAGGATCATTTGAATCATGCATAAGTGTCCGTTGATGACAAGATTGATGTTGATTCTTTCACTAGAAATCTCCAAGTGTCCATAGAGGTCCAGGGTCCATGGAAGGTACACAACACCGATTGGATCGGTGCATGTACACACAACTCAGATCAACTAGGTTAGCAGGTCAAAATCAAGTAACCGTGCACAACGTTATTCCTTTTTTTACCCAGTAAAGCCCTACAATCATCATTTCCCAAATATTTGTTTCAATCCAACCTATTAAAGTTCCTGCGCAGGTTTGGGTTCACCATAAACCTCGTTCAGAATCGCCTCACTTTAACATAAGTATCCTTCATAAAATCAAAATGAGTTATTAACATTCGTGGTTTCCCACACTAAGAAACGTATCCCCACTCCAAGGCCGCAAAGTTGACTCAAACTTTTCATTTTTTAATGAGAATGTGGCTGTGCAATAGCCTCCCTAAATTTTGCTGATCAAGGCCCGTGACATAAAGGTAAATCAGTGCAATTTCAGCTCGGAGTGCAATAATCTTTTGCAGTAAGAATGCGCTAAATTATAGTTCCGTGCTTTCGTTTAAAAGGCAGTGCACTGAGACTTGGGCCGCACAGTGAATCGAGTCAATAGAAGAAGTCGGACAATATTTGAAAGCTTTGAAAGCTCATAACTCCGTTTTTACAAAATTTTGAGGTCTTAAAAATAGTTCCATTGGTTTTCTCGTAATTTTTTTTTTAGTATCCCCCGTCAAAATTTAAAATTTGACGAAAGAAACATCTAAATTTGCACTTTTAGTCAAAAAAATCATGTCCGACCTCTCCCATTGATTCGGTCCATTGTGGGCCGTGCCCTGCGCGTATTTTTATTGGTCTCAGGGCCGACATCACGGTGAAGATAGTTAACTTTCACTAGAATAAATTGATGAGCATAGAGGCCCCTCTCACATAAAATACTTTAATATTTCAAGTAGTTCCGTTATTCTCTGTTTAGCATGGAGGAAAATGAGTTGTCAAATGTCCCCCGAAGCTGGAAGAGAGGCCTAGCGAAAGGAGGTCTCGGGCTTCTGCTCCGGTCCCGATTGTTGCTCACTTTGACGGACGTCGCGTCGTCTGGCGAGAAGATGGCTCGGGCGGTGACATTTAAGAGCTGTCGTATTTCGAGCGACGTTGATACCGATTTAATTGGGCAGTAATCGAATTGGTTCCTTTCCATCTCGGCGCGCATAAATTAGCCGGCATCGTCGCGGCCCGGCGTCAAACACTCCCGCTATGCAAAAAGCTCGTATCTCCAACGAAAACACAACGTAGATACGTGGTTGTTCCCACCACCGAGCATGGCAGATGGGCCTTTTCCTGGTAGCGAGGTGCAAATTTGACAAGCGCCCCGGAATCGGTGAATTAGGCGACAAATTAAGACCGGTCCGCCCTCTTCTTCCTAACATGTCACTTCACGCGCTGCCGTGCTTAGGAATAACGCCGTATGAGCCCTCAGACGTTGCTAAATTTCCGTTGATAAAATACATAATTTCAGGGAAATCTGTGAATACTTTCTCACCAATTTTTCACAGAATTTTATTCGCTATTAGATCTAAATTATCTGAAAATTTCAAGAGGAAATATTCATAATTCTGCTTGAAAATGCACATTTAATTGGAGGAAATTTGGCAACTCTCGAGTGTTCATACGGCGTTTTTCTGTAGCAAGGCAGCGCGGGTGTTACCCGTTATCGTTCGAGAAGGAAAGAGGCTTCCACCGAAATTCTATCTTTTGCGGTTGAAGTTTTTTTATAGGGAGAGTTAAGGCACGTGGAATCCGTCTCTCATTGGCTCCCGTTTTTTCGGCTTTTGAATTGAAAAAAAATCTACCGTACCAGTAAGTTCGATAGGCGCTTTTTGCTTCAGAAAACTGAGATTTTTGTCGAGAAAACCGACGTCTTTCGTTCCTTAAAACGACATCCAAGCCATTGTAAGTTTTGGATCAAAGTTTGATTTGAATTCTCTGGTAAATTCATTCGGATTATTGTTGATCCCTTTGGAATACTGGTCTAACCAACCGGAGCATCTGGTTTTGGAAAGTAAAATAAATTTCATATTCAGGATTAATTTTTTTTTTAGTGTACGCTTGATTGCAAACTGCGTTTTATATTGGGAAAATGGATGCACATAAATCCTTAAAAATTAAATAAACGATACAGAGGTTGAGTTGAAAGCAATAATTTGTAATAATTCATCGAAATGAAAAACGAGAAGTATTTACCCCCCACCCCCAATTGCCGCATTTCTTTAGAAACAGAGCAAGAAGAAACACAATCGGAATGATTCCAATAAATGAGCAATATCGGTAGGGAATTTCAGGCATTCTGAATTCGAGGAATGAGATGGACCCCAGCACAGCATCAGAGTTGCCGTGATTTGCGCTCCTTTAGGTGCCAAATTGAACATTTTGTCCGGGTTAAAAACGGAGAAACGAAAAAACCAAATGTTGAAGGTTTAATTTTGTCGAAACATTTTGCTCACTCTGTATCAACCTCAATATAATTTTTATCAGTCTACAGAGCTGTTCGTAATGTAGAGATTATTATGATTGTCTTCATTCCATACAGTCGGTACCATTCTGATGGTATTTGTGGTATTTTGAATTTCATAGGATATGAAATAACAGAGGTCTCAATTTATTCTGCATTTTCATATCGTGAAAGCCGCTCATCGCGTGACACTTTAAAGAAGAACTACAGAAAGAAATGTTTCTATGTTTCATCGAAACAACCAGTATGATTCATTGTATTATCGCTGTATGTAGACAATTGAGCTGTCAAGAACATAAAGATAGGAGCCATTCATAACACCAAAAAATGATATGAACAAATCGGATTTAGAAAAAAAATTACTAACGAGAAAAGGCAACAAAATCTCTCATTTTTTAGAGTATAGTAATTTCTAATTTTGTCGTCTTTCAGTGATACAAGAGACAGCACATTTAATCACTAGAGTTAAGAGAGAAACCAAACACGCAATTTGGTCTGGAACGGCGCGGCCTAGAGAGAAATGATGACGAGGACTTGAGATGAAAAGGAGAAGCCCTCGGTGCGGCGCGCGGCGGTCGACATGTAACACTTATAAGCGCCTACGAGACTGCATGAATACTTCACGCATTGCATCAAACATAGTGCAGTCACTGCGGACAGCGAGAAACGCATAGCGCCTACAAGAACGCATGAATACTTCACGCATTGCGCCAAGCACATTGCGGTCTGCGCGGCGCAGTGGCGGAGGTTAAAATCATTAAACCGCATTTATGTTTGTTCTTCCATGATCATTATCGTTTATTTCTAATAAATGGAAGGCCTTGTCCACACAGAGATAGGTTTACGGAACTTGATTTTCGCGCAAAGATCCGTGAACTTTTGCTAGTAATGTGGACAGGGCTTTTTCCAAAAATGTGTCCAACACGAATAAACGTGTCTTCTGCCTTATGCACCCCTCCGGCACGTTCACTTGATGGTTTCTATTGATGTTTTAAAACGAATGAGAAGGGGGCGGCAAAATACAGGCGGCCCGTGGGCGGCAAGTTTGTAAATCTGGCCCTGTTATACGTGTAAAAAAATAAATAGAAGCGGAATACAAAAATAAGAAAAAAATGAAACTACCTTGTATAATAAGTACTGCAGATTTATTTAATGGCACCTGCACTAATAAGTAATAACTAACCATCGAATGAAAAAAATTCTGCAAGATTTATAATCCATAACGGCAGAGATAGGCGCCCTTTAGTTGAAAGTTGAGTGACTATTGTGCCTTAATTTTTTCAGTTCCCATTTTATGAATCAGTACATTTAGTCCAGTAGGCAAATATCTCAGAAGTCACTGAACAGGCTTTTTTATCTGCGTGTTAAAATCTTAGAGAGCTGGTGAAATTGAATTCATTACGATTCACACACCGTCTGATAGTTACAACAAAAATCAATTTTGATGGTCGAGAAAAAATAAATAATTTTAAGTTCATCTCCGAAAACCTGACTCACAAAATGATCGATCTCCGCTCAAAAAAAAGCAATGAGCACTAAAAAGCGCATAAAATGCTTTGTCGCACTGTGCACCACTGAGAGCAAGACCAATTTGAGCCGGTCCACAGTGGATCGAGTCAACTGGGGAGTTCGGACATAATTTGGAAACTTTAAAAGCTTTTAACTCCGTTTATACAAAACTTAAAGGTTTTAAGTGGTTCCATTAGTTTTCTTGTGAAATTTTCTTCCAGAAACACTCCTCAAAATTTAAAATGTGACGAAATAAACATCGAAATTTGCAGTTTTTGTGAAAAAAAAATACATGTCCAATCTTTGATTGACTTGATTCACTGTGCGACCATGCATGTAAAAGCTGTACCGTTGCTCGATACAACGAATTTGACACTCCATCGATGTGAGATCACAACACGACATTCTGATGAGTCTTGTTGCCCGAATATCAACACGTTATCCAGGGCCCACGTGAAAAAAAGGGATCTGTGGATTGACGAACGCATAGACTATCGACACGGGATGGCG